CATTTGTTCCATGAATGAATTTTAACCATGAATTCATTACATCTATACATTTCACCTGCTGTAGTTTTTCTGGCAGCTTTTTAGCCACCAAACATGGGTGTTTTTTAGCAATCCCCTGCTGTTTTTCCACTGGAGATTGTGTAGCAGTTGTTTTTACAGAGACATTGCTGCATTCCTAGCACAGAAAGCAACAAAAAGCAGTTATATTAAGCCAAACCAGGATCTTTTCTAACCATCATAAAGTAGTTTTTGTGTCTAACCACACAGTAAGCTCAGCATTGTTGAAACATAAAGAAACATTAAGTTTCAATGTATAAATTACATAATAAGATACAAATGTAATGTATCCAGGTTTTGCAGAAACATACAATGCTAACACTTTTTTTGTGGAGATTGGGTTGAGTAGAGAGCACTGAGCAGCTGCAGAAGGTTTTACACCCCGGAGCAAAATCCTAATCTGGGCTTTTCCCAATTTAGTGTGCACCATGTTGGAGCTTTACAGGGCCAGAAGACAACCCCTAACAGCTTGCTGCTCGCAGCAATATTAACTTCACACTAAGAAGGACATTAGTAGGACAGTGCCAGAGCGGAGTCAATGTTTAATTTCCCCAAGAGGCAAATTGGTCTCCAGAAAGTAGTCAAATAAACAGCACATGAAAGATACTGTAAATACACAATAAATAAAGGGAAAAAATGGACCATTGTCACCACAACCAATGCCAGGAAACCAGCTGTCTATATTTACAACAGGTGACTAACTTATAACTTGGTGCTAGTTGATAGCACAAAATCCCTGAGATAGTTTTCATTTTATACAGGATGTAATGTGCCGTTTGCAGTATTCAGTGCGCTCTTGAAAGCTTTTCCTATTGTTGTCATACAGTAGCTTCTACATATCTACATATTGCTTTATACATAATTACATTGTCCTTGATGGATGTTCCTATCATTTTTCACACTAATGTTCCTGGTGCAAATTTTGTATTCTTCATATAATCATGTTAGAAGTGTTATTATAGTGCTCAACTCGGATGTTTCTCGCTTCAAGCTATGCACACTGTAGCTACAGAAAAGTACCAGTAAGCACCTTTTAGGGTCTTTGCTGCAATCCGATGAAGGAATTTACCGGAAACTAGATACCATTTAACTCAAAAACATGACAACACTCACAAGGACCACGGAGACAGATTAAATATTGATTGACCTCAGGCACTCTGGACATTGAGGAGACTTGGCCAAGTTAAAAATCAAATCACATTAAAGCAGCTGGTTCACAGATAAAGGTATGAGATCGATACATATCCAGAATCTGAGGGGCAAAAAAAGTCAGTAGAACAGAATCGGATCAGGTCGACTTATTTTCCTCAAGAATATCAAACAAGGTCACTTTGTTAGTGAAAATATGTTCCAAGGAGCATTTCCTCTGAGTACACACAAACATGATCTTACATATACAGAAGTCTCATGCATCATCAAGTTTTACTGGTTACATGTTTGCTTCAAATTTAAAAAGAACGATCCATTTATGTCGTGGTTGTAAAGTTTACTTAACGGTGTCAGCAAAACACATCTAGCAGACAGGGAGCAACATTAATTTCTTTGAAGGGATGTTTCTGGCCACCTGATGAATGTAAGTCCAATATTTAAGCTCCTTTTATCTCTGTTTTTGGTCTCCACCAATTCCTGAGGGAAATATCTGACTTTTAAGCTGTTAAATGTTCTACTGTGTTCCCCCAGATAGATACTAAAGCCCCGTTTCCACCAAGCAGTCCGATGCAGTTCAGTTCAATACTCTTTTTTTCCCTTTCCAATGTGAAAAGTTGTGGATGATACCAGTGGAACCGTTCTGTAACATCCCCATTTTTGGTCCCCCCTCTGTTGGGGTACCTTGCAAACAGATCTGGTACAAACTGGTGAAGCTAGAAACACTGCAGTCTGTTGATTGGTCAGTAGTGGACAGTCTCTCTGCTCAGGGCTGAGTTGTGGCTGGTTTTGAGGCTTATGTAACCTCTGTTCATACTGTGGAGAGTTTTACATACATTAGTAAACTATAACTATTAAAATGAAAAGATGTTTAGCTGCTTCTCACAGCAGCTGTAGTCTGAGAAAAAAAAAAAAAAACTTTTAAGTTGGAACGCTGACTTGTAATATACTCAGTACATGACTTGACAATGTGAATCCATCAGATGTTCTTCAGAATTCTTCAAGATGTTGATCTTCAAGCGTTTGAAAATATATAGTACTGCATATATTTTAATCCTCACTTGGAGAAAAAAATAAGCATAGCAGAGCATTGCTCCTGTGGCCTACGGCAAAACTAAACCCCTGCGCTTGCCTGGAAGGACTAAATGCACAGACCCGCTATTTTCAAATATCCCATTGAGAAAGGCTCCCACTGCAGCCTGTTCTATTTAGTTCCAAAAATGTTGGCGTGCAACCCGTTCTGTGGACGAAATAAGAGGTGCAGACTTCTATCTGCGTCAACAGTGATGAGGAAATACAGCGAGTACTGGATGGAGCAGTGAGTGACAACAACCCCGCCCACATGTTTGCAGTGGAAACCCTATATGGACATAGAGTCCAAGTACCATGTCTAAAGGATTACATTTGGTTCCAAAGGTACCATACCGAAAGTGCTGGGAGGAAACCAAATGAAGCTTTGCACAAGTTCAATCAGGAAGACTTTCTTTATGCTTTATTCATTCACAGTTCTCTCTCTATCCCACTTCCACTGCTTTCTCCAATCAGCTGATTATGGCCGTTTGTTCTCCTACTTCGCCAGTCAAACTTTACTGCAATCTCTTTCAGCCATTCATGTTGCTATTGTCAAACTTTAAATCTGTTCTACTTTCTGATCCTGTCAGCTGCATTTTAGGCAGAATCGTCACAGTCATTTCCACCGCATTCACCCCCACTCACTTTATCCAGAGCCCAGGACAAGCTCATCAGAAGCCCACTCTTCTTAAAATCTAGATCCTCTACTCCCTCTTCATCTCATCTCATCACCACAGACAGTATCGCCACAGGGGGCGTTCCCTAATCTACTACCTCTTTACAATCCTCTTGAAATACATGACACCAGGATGGGGTCTTACAGCAAATGTAAATATTCTTTTCTCTCAGACCGAGTCTCTCCTGATTGAAATTGTCATCTGGGTATGTGTGTGACATGGGTAATTGAGGCTGTTGAATAAACAGTGAAAAACTACAACTAATCAGCAGCCATAGAGAAGGACTTTCCAGTTTCATTGTAATTTAAAAGTATAAGTATATTATATTCAAGTGTTTACTTTTTTTAAAAGAGTAAGAGCTCTCACTAGCAACCACTGTTGTAAACATCTGTGGCAAGCCAAGTGCAAAGTCATCTAATCACATGTTCAGTGAGCAGACAGCAAGGTTGTGTCCACAACTACATTTGACACACTGAGAAGCTAATTAGAGGGACTGCGTCTGAAACAGAGGGTGGACATAAAAATACAAACAGCTAATTATGTGAACAAGGAATAGGTCACCCTGTACTTTTAGCATGTGTGTAGTGGGACACTCAGTGAGGAGAGCCTTCACTTCATTGAGGGATACAAGAGATGCTCTGCACTCCAGTTTGATGGTGGTTGGAGATGTAAAGAGAAACATCTGACTTCATTTTGGGGTCCATGGAACTGTTCTTAAATTTATTTAGCAAAGTGCCATCACCTTGTTGTCATATAGGAACACGTACACCTGCTATGGCAGCCATTATGATCATGCAGACACCTTTTTGCTGAGTTACTTCATTTGTAGTCTTCAACACTCTCACACCTTTCATTTTCTCATCCTGTTAGGGGTTGCAGCTAACATTAGAGGAGAGGCTGGGTACACCCTGGACAGGTTCAGACTATCACAGGGCTCACACATACAGAGACAGAGACAGACAACCTACTGGCAATTTTGAGTCACCAATTAACCTGTGTGTCTTTGGAAGCCAGACTACACGGAGGAAGCCCACACTGACATGGGGAGAACATGCAAACTCCACACAGAAGGGCCCCCCACCCTGGGGTTCGAACCCCCGACCCAGGATTCAATCCAGGAACCCTCTTGCTGTGAGGCGACAATGCTAACCACTGAACCACTATCCCACCTGTTGGGACACTTTGTGAGGCCACATGCACAGAGAGGAGCCTCACCTGTGTGCATGTTGGACCTTTAAGGAAACAGAGGATATGTGACGTGTCTGTGTCAAGGTCTGTGACCTCTGTTTTCCTCTCTCTCTTGTTCAGTCAAACAGAGCAAAGGCACCAGAAAAAACTGTACAGGACCCATCAGGAAAACATGATTGCATGACCTGTAGTATATTTTAAAAAACTACTACAAACTCTAGAATTTAAACCAGGGATTCAAACATATTACAGAGATTTATCCTCCTCTGAGGGTCCTCTAGCTCTGCTCCAATGTAGTCACGCATTGAACAATCCTTTAGCTGCAGATTACACTGAAGGGATGAACGGCCCCAATGGGCTTCGTGCATCATCGCCGGGACGCCCATTCTGGGCCAGATGTTGTCGGGCTATTAGAGAAAGCTCAACCGCGTGCGCGCACACAAACACTCACTGCTACAAGCGTGCAAATATAATATTATGATGATTTATTAAACTGTGATCTTGAGGGATTTAGCAGCCTTTACGCATACTATAACACAAGTATAAACTGTTGAAACAGACGAAAGAAGGTGAAGCTCTCCTTCAAATTGCCTTTCTAAATGAATGTTATATATTTTTCTTAAGATCCACTCCTACTTCTCTTGACAGTTGTGGATACAGATGCTCCTGTCACGCCAGATGCGCACGAACTAAGCCCAAGTGCCTGAACTGCAGCTCTCATCTGTCTGACAAATGTTGATGGAAATGACGCTCAAATGACAAAATGTCAAAGATAAAAGGTGCCTGGCTGCATCTTTTTCCCCTGCTCTCTGCATCCTCTGACAGACAGACAAGAGACGGAAGGCTCCATCAGTGACCCACCTTGACAGCAAAACATCGCCCACAGGTAAAATCCAATCAATACAGATCCAGTACACTTCCGAGGCTCCATGGCAGCGGCGGAGCACAACTCCCTCTGTAGCCCGCTGGGGATGTCAAACTTCGAGGGAGCGCAGCTTTGTCAGACTGCTGGTGCTGCGCTCTCTATCTCTCTCCCTCTCTCACTCACTCACTCACACTCACACACACACACACCCAATGTTAGTCTTCTTGTCGAGTCGACGAGCCGACCGTCACCTCAAAAGTCACTTTGGATCCCGCTGTCCCCCCTTCTCTCTGAGCTCAGCTGTATTTTTATATCAAACATCTCGAGCTTGTCCTCTGCGTCTTTCCTGTCGTAACCGTGTGCGCTGATGATGACAGCCACCTGTCCGCTGGGTGCTTCTGCGCAATGCCGTCAACTTCGTCAAGGTTTGTCCCCTCCAGTCATTTCGGGCTCATCCTCATCAGCTTTATGGGTGATGACTGAGGAGAGATGTGTACGCACGCAGGAATTCCCAACAGAGGGCGACTTCGGAAAACTTTTTTTTCCCCACTCAAGCAAATGTTTAATTTGTTTAGTGGGTGCTGAGTACAGTTGATCAGCAGAATTTGCAGGTATCCCTGTATTTTTTTCCCAGTAGTGGAGTAGTGAACATGGTCTCCCTTCCAATCTAATATATGGATAAAATGATCATCTGTCACTGTGCTCCTTTTCTCCTACAGGCGGGAAGATTGACTCTAATGCAACTGAGCGACAATAATGAACTTCCCTAAAAAGGTGCACAAATTAAGTTCAGTAATTTGTCTGTAAAGGGAGTATTGTCCCCTCTCCTTTCCCCCTCCTTTCAACCTGTTGTCACACTTAAAGCCTTGTCCTCCTCAGTACCTGTATGCCAGGTGTGGCTCAGTACTGGCCTGCGCCCTGATTTCTGGGCGGAGCTGGCGGAACTATTACCTGGGCAGGTGCTTGCTGCTCAGTTTGGCGATCTTGTCTCTTCCTGGAGCTTGGTGTCTTTGTTTGACGCGGTCCACAGTTTGGCTTAAGCAGTGTGGCTGGCGGAGCACTGTGTTTCTTCTGAACTTCTGAAGCTGTGGGTTGTGCCTTCTCGCTGCTTGTTTTTATAGGTTTAGGCACAAAAACACTTGGCTAGTGGTGGCACTATTCTGGCAGGAAACGCAGCAATGTCTTGGTAAAAAAAAAACAGCTACCTTTTGTGGCACTGTCCCGGCAGGAAATGAAGTGGTGGGTCGCTAAAAGCTGGTTTTGTTATGTGGTGGTGTGCAGCTTGGCAGGTTTCTTGCCCAAGTCAAGGTCAACTCATATACAACGTCACTTTACAAACAATTATATGTGGTTTGCAGACACTTGCAGTGTCAATATTTTGTTCTGGTAACTGGGTTAATGTCACTTTTACACAGTGCACTCCTTTCTCACTCTCCTGTTTATCCTCATAATGGTGTTCCTCCTCCTCCCTCTTTTCATTGTCATCTTTCCTCATCCTCTCTTATTGTTTTTCCCCTCCAGTCTCCATAATCTATGCTTTCTCACTGTCAAGGGCATTACCTGTAACATCCACAACCTTCTCCAGTTATCCTCTCTTCCAGTCCAGTTATTCACTCATGTTTTCTACCAGCTATAGAAACGTGTCTCAAGGTAGGTGTTGGACCCATCCATGGCTTTAAAATCAAACAGAATTTCCGGGAATGTATTTAGAGAAGGTGAGGTAGATGTTTACATACACATGAAGGAAGTTCCTACTCATTAATGGTAGTTTGTGGATATATTAAACAATGATATATCCAAACATGGAAGCCCATACAATTCAGTACAAACTGCTCACTCAGCAAAAGAAAATTGTTCTGCCTGCTAATCATGTGTCCATGACTCATGTGCATTAATGTCTTTCTCTGGCCAAGCCGCCTGTTGTATACTGTACATGGCACGTGAGCAGATTATACAACCCAGTCACCAGAAAAAAATGTTGGCATTGTACTTTTCTGCAAACCATGGACATTTGCAAATTAGTATGTAGTGGATACATTTAATATTTAATAATGCTGAGGTTAACATTTGGATTTAGGCACAAAAATCCTTTTATGATTTGGAAAAGATCATGTTATGGCTTAAAAAACACACTTCTGGGGGAATAATCCCAGAGAAAATGTCTGGGTAAAAAAAACAGTTGTTTTTGTGGAACTATCTCAACTAGAAAAACAGTAACAGGTTGATTAAAATCACCCATATTTGGTACATAAAAAGCCACTGGAAACACAGCAATAACTTGCTAAATCACAACTAGTTTTGTTGTTAGTTAGTCTCGGAAAGTAGCCTTAAGCTTGGCAGATGTCTCACCTAGTGGCACGCCATCCACCTTCACCGTTGCCCTCTTACATCACTTTACATTTGTTCATATGATATGTTTGAAACGTGCAAATGTTATGTGTTTGTGGTTTGCAGAAATGTACAAAGCCAGTTTGCCTCTTCAGTAGTAGGGTTAGCTTTCGAATCAGAAATATTGGCTGCTGTACTGTACATTTCATAACAAGGACATTATGTGTTGCTACTTTCAGTTACAAACATTTGCGCAGCAGTGGCACAGATGATGAATTAAGTCATAAATAGATTCATGTTAGCACGCACCACTGAACGCATCTTTAATCAGCTTGGCAGCCGTCCAGTGTGGTGAATTTTGGTGCATGTGGCCAGTTGTTAAAGCATATTGCATCCTATAATTACCTCTAACGAGATAGCCTGAGCTTCAGTGTGGTGCGGTAAGGGAAACACCTTCAGGGCAGCACCCTTTACACTGCAGTGACATGAAATGGAGTATTATTGTGTGTGAGCAGGTGTGTGTGGGAGTCAGTGTTCGGCCTCATTAGCTTGTATGGAGACATTTAAAGTTGTCAGTTGGTGTGATGCACCTATGATGTGTCCTGCTCTATTAATTGCTCATTTATGCCAACCCTGTCATCTTTGCATCATCGTCTTAATGTTCTTTTCTTTCCCTTTGTCTTCCTCTTCGTCAACTATCACATACTCTCACTTCCTCTAGTTTTCTCTTTTGTTTTACCCACTACCCATCTGCCATGCACACTGATTCACTGTTGATCATACTGTCTGTTCACTCTCCTCCTCCTCAACCGTCCATCTCTCATCCCCCCCTCCGTTTCCTGTCTCACTTCTCCGTTCTGTGCTCTTGCAGTTTGAGCATCAGATGCAGTGATGTCCTCAGACCATTATGAGAGCGCCCGCAGCGCTTCTGTAGCCCTCACTATCTATCACCCTCCCGCTCCCTCTCCCATCCGCTTTAGCCCCAGTGTGGAAAGCCCCCACCTCCCCTCCTTGTCTTTCTGTCTCCCTCTGGCTTCAGTCTGGACACAGTGCTGCACATGTATGTAGACTGCCATCAGCTCACATTAAGTAAATGTCCTTTTGGCTGAGTCTGCAGGGATTTGAGTTGGTCCTGTGTGTGAGTGTGTGTGTATTTGTGAGTATGGGTTTATATGTGTGTTTATGTATGTGCACCTGTTTATTTACATGCTGTATATGTGTGTTGTCTCTTCTAGTCCAACTGGAAGAGCCCCTCCCTCCCTCCCTTTACAGCACACATCACATTAACATATACACAGCACATAGTAGCCCCGAGCCCATGCCATAAATATCATAAACAACATCATCAAGCATGGTTGGACATGTGGTTCGTGCTGGCGCTTATGCCATTGCATATGTCTCAGCTTACTTCACCATGCTAAATCTAAATGCACTGTACATATGGGAAGAGAAAGGGCTTGAAATCTTGAAGAAATTATAATTATCACCTAAATGTGCAGCCCCCCTCGGCTTTATGGAGCTATAGTACCGCAAGGTTCTAATTTAGGTCCAATTTTATTTTCCATCTATATGCTTCCACTTGGCCAAATCATTCAACAACACAACATTTCTTTTCATTGCTATGCAGACGACACACAGATATACCTTCCCCTGAGACCCGGTGACCCAAAAAGCCTAGCTGCTGCTGTAGATTGTCTCACCGATGTCAACTGTTGGATGGCACAAAATTTCCTTCAACTCAACAATTCAAAAACAGAAATCATACTGTTCAGTCCCCCTAATCCAAAAAACCCCATCAGTCTTGGTCCCCTTTCTATCTACATGAAGCCCACTGCCAGAAATCTAGGAGTACTGTTCGATTCAGACCTAAGTTTCAAACCACACATTAAAAAAGTTGTCCAGTCCTGCTTCCTCTCAATTAGAACCATTTCTAGAATTAAGCCAATGCTCTACCATTCTGACCTTGAAAAAATCATCCACGCTTTAATTTTCTCCAGATTAGATTACTGCAACTCCCTCCTTTCCGGCATCACCCAAAAACCCCTCTCTCGCCTCCAACTAGTTCAGAACGCAGCAGCTAGGCTTCTTACTGGTTTTAACAGACAACATCACATCACCCCGATTCTGGCTTCTCTCCATTGGCTCCCTGTTCGTTTTAGAATTGATTTTAAGATTTTACTGAACACTTTTAAAGCACGTCTGGGTCTGGCTCCAAGCTACATACAGGGCCATCGCAGGACAGGCAAACTAGGCAATTGCCTAGGGCCCCCAGCTGGAAGGGGGCCCCCAGAGACGACTGACATTGGTCCATATCAATGTCAATATGATGGAACCCCTATAGACACTGCAACAACGACAACACTTTGGAATCCCCCCTAATGGGGCCCCCTACTAGCTGCTGCTTGCAAGTGGCAGTGTAAGTAGGGTGACCAGATGTCCCGCACTGTGCGGGACTGCGCAGCATTTCTGTCTCTCCAATCACAAGAGGGTGAGTGTCCATGCGCCGTCCAATAACGGCATGCGCTGGCCACCTGGCACTCAATATGCTGCTGCAGTGGTTTGTATCCAGTGACATTTCAGGTATTAGCTGAGCTATTGAGTATCTTTAAGCAGTGAAAGTTACTATTTATTTCTTTTTACTTGTAGGTTAGATTTGTTTATATGCTACAGTGATTTGTTTTCCACAGAGCTCTATTGTGCAAGTATTTTACTCGCATTTGCGACTAAAAATAGTTTTGCACAAGCAAAACAAATCATTCAGGAGCACGCTGTGCGAGTACAGATTTCAACCAGCAGCAGAAACTAAAGGCGAGTCCTGCCGGTTGTGGGTTGAACGGGGGTCACAGATGCCGTATTCCTGTCAAATATGGCGCAAGATAAGGGCTTACTGGCGACGGAGAAGTCCGGCTCCAGGTCCAATAATTTCCTCTTTGTTGATTTCATGACTGCCCAGAAATACCTGAACAGCCGAGCAGTGGCAGCACACAGGTATGTGGTGTGTCAGAGGAGGAACGAGCCATTCACATTTCTCTTTTTGTGTCAGGTAACGGCCCACAAACCTCACCGCACTGTTCACGGGACTGTTCTTTACTTGTGAAGGGACTGTTCTTTACTTGTCAGGGGAGGAGGGTGGCTGGTTGATTTTTATTTCATTTATTTATTTATTTTATTTCAATCCCCCCTATGTTAATCACTTATTGATGCTGTTTTTGAAGTATGAATAAGTCAATAAGTAATTTATTCCTTTGAAATATCATTGATGTATTATAGAAAAGTGATTTATCTTTTTATAAATGACAAAAGGCACATCTGCAGAATTTTTGCTGTGGTATTGTGATACTACTCAGAACCGTGACACTTTCACTGGTATCGTACGGTGGGTCCCTCCACGGTGCCTCTTGCCTGGGGCCCCCACAGTGTCTTGAAACAGCCCTGGCTACATAACTGATATGCTGACCCCGTACGAGCCAGCCCGCAGCCTTTGATCCTCAGGTGGGGCCCTTCCGGCTGTTCCAAAGTCGAAGCTTAAATCTAAAGGTGACCGTGGTTTTGCCATCAGGGCCCCTCGACTTTGGAACGACCTGCCTGAGGTGAATCACTTCTTAAAACCCATTTCTACAGACTTGCTTTTATGTAATGTTGTCTTTCTATTGTCTTTTAATCGTTTTATCATCTCTTTATTGTTTTTCTTTGTCTTCAGCCGCCATCTTCTTAAGGTCAGATCTGTTATTGTTTTCTGTATCATG